ATTAATAATGAAGAAATCGTAAAAAATTTACAAAACCGCCCTAATAACATACAAATTATATTCATGATTATTTTAAAAAATGCTGTTCTTAGGACTGTTAAGACTTTGGTGTAAACTTAAGTTAATTTTAGTTTTATTGGTATGTTTATCGTACCTTATGTTTTTCTTGATATTATTTTAATAGAACTATATAATGGCTCACAAAATTTCAACTGAAACGATAGTTAATATTCTTGAAGTTGTTCAATTACTTTTATAGAGTTTATTACTCTATCCTTTTCCTTGTATATGTTTCAATAACCATCGTGTCCATAAGCTTAGGGCATTAACTATATGTTGAGTTAGTCTACGTCGCGTCCGTTAATTGCTGTAAAACACACGCACCAGAGCTCGTTACTTTGACCTAAATAAAAAAAGTATTAAAATTAGATATTTAGAAGTTGGGGCCATGTTGTACTATTGTAAATAATAAAGTTGTACTGTACTATATATTCTAATGGTAACACACAAATATCAATAAACTGTGATAGTCCAGATACAGACAGCGCGTGTAAACTTCCATAGCACTAAATAAAACACATACTCAGTTTACCTAATTGTTAAAATTGTATGCTAAACAATAAAAAATTGAATTTATATAATAATCCAATGATGTTTTTCACAGTTCAACAAAAGTTCTTCATCTACAATTTTACTTTTAAAATGAGTATCTGGTATTGTTCTGTGGGATCCTATTGATATTTATCTTTAAAGAGACTTCTAAGTAATTGATGTCATATGGTTGAATATTTCTGGTTTTAAATATTCTAATGTATTGATCATAATAAATAATAACACTTAGATGATCTATTTGAATTAATGATACTTGGCCAATAGAAATTATTTAAAAAATCGCTGTTTTATGTATAATACTAAATATTGTAATCTAATAATTTTTGTTGCTAATTAATACCTGCAAAAATACATGTCCATATAATCTAGTTTAACACGAACTAATTTTCTTAAATAAATTATAGAAGATTGATTCTATAATAATAAAATCTAGTTTTATTATTTATTAATTCATAAAAGTGTTCAAATACATCAGTTTGTTATAGTTCCAATCTGATCAAATCAAGACAAGATTTGATTTTTTACATTGATTAAATAATTAAGTGAGACATTGAAAGCTTAAATTTGAAATATTAACAAATACTTATATTTAACGTGTAGAATTACATAATAATTCGTCAGACTTGGATAAAATGTTCGTTAAATTTATTGACTATACAATGTATTTACAATACGTACACTTTTATTTTAAATTGCTAGTTTGTTTTTTACAATAATATTATTTTAAAACAATAAATTTTTTTTGCAACCACGTGCCTTATTTTAATAAGAGAAATGCATAAAAAATATACTGTAATCGACGTCTTGGATATTAGGCAGTTGCATTAATTAAATATATTGCATATTATTCACAAGGTGGAACAGGTCAGTAGACAAAACTGCAATGTTGATGAAGATATTCACACAATAGGCACTAATAAACTTTCCATTTTTACATCTCATACTAATGTATGGTGCATTGCCCTATCCTTTTTAGCGTGCTTAATTTTCTAGACGATATTTAGTAGTTAATATGCTATTTAATGAAGTTCATTGACATCGCGAAATTTACAAAATATATACCTACGTAACATATACAAAATAGAGAACTGCTGGAGATATTAATTTATGATTATAAAAAAATGTATAAAAATATAATTTTTATAATGAAAATATTATGTGTGATGGTACTTTTAATAGCTGAAATCTACTGATATAATTGAATAAAAACACTTAAGTACTTTAATAATCACGGCAATATTTTTAAAGAAAAACCTAATATAACTTTAAAATAAAACTTGAAGACTGTAAAAGTATAAGGGTTTTTTAAACAGCATTAGCATTAATTCAGTTAACTCGCTATAAAATTAGGAGATATAAATAACTATGTTAGGTATCATAATAATTATATTTTTACTGTAAGTAGGTTTGAAAATATTTTTTAATGTTAAGGTTACTATTTGATTTGTTAAGACTTTTTTACTTTATCAAGTTATTTTACTGATAGAGATAACTAATGGTGCTACATAGCAATAGCTGTTAAACTTAAAAATACACATTTTAATACTGGAAAATAATTCAGCAGATTTTTTGTATGTATTTTGAATCTTGGTTGTAAAATTGTTTGAAATGAAAATATGCTGTTAAATAATCATAAATATAAATTGGCTTTAGTCAATTTATTAATCTTATCAATTTGATAATATCAGTGCAGGTGCAAGAGCGAGGTACGTTGAATACATGTCCTGAGCTTAGAATTTCGCGAGACCTTAAACATTTTAATTCAAATTAACAAAAAACAAAATAAATATTATTTTTATTTTATGCGATTATTTGTTGTTATATTACCGAAAAAAACTTTAAAAACTCTAATTTTATAGTGTTATATTTCTAATGTTATAATGTTATAACTCTAAAACACTCACAAATAGTTAGTAAAACTAGGGAGTTTTATATTGTTATCTAAGATGCCTATAAAAAAATTATGTTGATTTGTTAATTTTCTAAAAATTTATGGCAGTATATAAGTTTTAAAAACTATTAAAAATGACTGATTTTTAAAATTGTAATTTTTTTTAAGATTTCCCCTCCCCCCTTAAGGGGAATGAGGGAACTTTTTCAATTTTTGATGGTAAAGTCTATGACTAGAGACAATTTGTGATATTTTGACATATCGACGCTTTAAAAACGATTTTACTTAAAATTTTATTTAAAACTTTCTACTATGGGAACTATGGGACACATACATTTTGACTATGCAAGGTAAAAACTTAGGTAACCCATAAATCCTTTATGAGTGATATAAATAATTTATGAATGGCATTACCATGTAACACATAAGCTTTATTTGTAGTACATTAAGTCATGTTTATGCAAACGGGTATTAGCCCTTAGCCAGTAAAATAAATAGGGGAATGCGGCTGTATTAGGGTCCTTAAATCTAAGGTTTTTTCCATCTTTACAGGATCAAGATTATTTTTTACACTTAAACCACTTCATTTTGCTAATTTTTTCCATAATTTTGGTTAAAAAGTTTTTATCAATCAGTAATATTATTTTAATAAATCATTATCTAATACGTAAAGTAGTTAAATATTTATGGTAGAGAATGGCCTAGTTGCGTTTGGCTCCTAGGCTATTCTCCAATATTTTTTTAATATTATGGACTTTCATTTTTGAACTTCCTAGGGCCGGCGTTAGATAATGTGATGCGGTTTCTGTATTGTATTTTATAATAAATTTTTCATTAAGGTGACAGGGTAAACTAATGACGTAATTATCATTAGTTAAATAAAAATGAAGGTAAACAAAATCATTCATTAAGGGAGCATTACAATAAAATTCTCTATTTAACTGTTTAGTAAGTAATAATTAGTTTTTTAATCTTAGAAAACAATCAATTTTCCATGGAGGATGTACAATATTTAAAAATTATTAAACAAATATCTAACAGTAAAGAGTATTTTTTTACTGTTACGAATAAATTTATGAAATATTCTATTTCTTAACTTATAATGTGTCATTAAACTTTAACAATAGACCTATGCTCTTCACTATTTTTTATTCGTTTCATTGATAATGCAAAGAATTTGCGTTGATGTTCCGCGTTCCTGGCATAATATTTAATGTCAAAAAATAAAAAATAAACTTGTGGCAATAGAAAAACGATCATTACGACAATGTTCTTTGTGTGAAAATTCCCCGTAGTAGCTTTAACAGGAAGAATTTGTTCTTGTACTGTGTACAAACACGTGACCATAACCCTGGACAATGTCCAAAAGTGACATTCATCACATAAAATATTGTTTCCTCGCGTTGTCTAACAACGCATAAGATAAGATATTTAACAATTATTTAACTAATGCAACTCGATTATGTAAGTGCATATACACGATGTCATTGTCCTGAAGTTATTTTCTCTGGCCTTGGCAATGAAAAGAAGCTCACCTGTAGAATACGCATAAATAGTTGCGAAATTAGGACAACCTATACACGAAGCCGGCCAGGAAGTCACGGTGAACAAAACGATTTCTTTATATTTTTTATAACTATCTCTATGTATGTTTTTGTTCACATGTGTTGTTCATGCATGTATACTTATATCTTTGGTTTTTTATTATTATCAACAAGGAGACTACGGTATTGCTTTGTATCATCTGACCTGACTCAGGCGTTTTAATATAATAACCACCCACCTTCAACTACTTCTACTATTAAAATGATCTATTATTTTTCCTTAATCATTCGATAACCATAAAACGATTAAAATTTGAATTAACATAGAGAAGTGATTTGAATTTAACTTGATATTTATTTAAAGGACTCTCTGAGATCAATTTAATGTATGAGTATACACCAACACACCTCACTATTATCACGAATATCATCTACTCCATTTGTCCATTTACATTGCAGTTTTTCTAAAATATTACATCTTCTAAACCGTTTATTAGACATAGTTTACAAACGAAAAATCACACAAATTAAACTAAATTTAATTTTGAAAAAAATCATTTAGTACAAATAGATTCAATACAAATAAATAAGAATTTTTATATTCTATTTGTCAACCTTATTAAAAATAAATAATATAAATATATAAGATATGCTATATATTTTACTAAAATAATATTTAAATTTACTCCAACAATACACTAAAAATGAATGAAGGTATTTGCATTAGCAATATGAAGTGTATACACCAATTATACTATTAATACTAAAAAATAGATCATATACAAATTAAAGTTAATCAATGCAAGTTAACTAAAAATATGTATAAAATATCTATCCTTTTTTAGGAAATTCTGGGTTAAATGTAACATAAATTCTTTATAATTATCAAACATACAAACTCTATATAAAAAATTGGAATAATTTTAGAAATTTATCATTTTATAATTTTTCAGATGAAACTCAGGCAATAGAAATGGTTCCAGAGCAAATGAAAAAAAAACTGTCATTTAATGATTATCATGATAGCAGTAAATTTGACAAAGAGTTTGTCAAGCCAGTCAAGTTTATTCCTAAGTCATTACATTCTCACGATATTCTTTACGGTGGAGATAAAGGTGCATATTAGAATTTAATTATTGATAATTTCTTACCAGTATAACTAAAAGTTATATTGAAAATTTTTTACTATATTAGTTGACCAAGAAAAGTTAACAAAACACCATTCGGGTCAATTTCGAAACAAAACGGCATTTATATGGGACCCTCATCCTGAATACGAATTTAAAGCGTTTGGGAAGACATTTCATTTGATTCTTGTTCATGATTCTATGTTTGTTTCTCCAGGAATTAAAGTAAGCTATTAAAAAAATTGAAATCATATCTAGTTTAAAAATGGTTGGAAAATGGTTTAAATAGTAATTAGGTATTATTTCTACTTTATTAACCCAAAATTACCAAATAGTGACGACTACTATGCTATGGAAATGAAGCTAACATATTTTAAGTTGGATTTCAAACGTAACTTTTATTTTAATTTAAATCATATAATTTTTTTTTTGAGGTTAGGTTCACTCTATTTATTTTAAGCTCGGTTCGATATTCTAAATAAGAATTTGTACATATTACCAAATAGAAGGTTTTTTTATAGATAATAATAACACACTATTATTAAACAAATATTTAATAAAACTCCTATAAATTAAGATATATATTTATATTATACATAAATATAAATTAGTGATTTATAACAATAACAAACACTAAAATCTAATATTGTAATAATTTAATTTATAATATTTATTTAACCCTTTGTATACTATAAAATACCTTTTATTTACTTTTTATATTTTTGAAAAAAGTCTTTCTCATATGATAATGATCTAATTGGAAAATGACTGATTGATAACAAATTTTAAATAGTACTTTGTAAATTATTAACATTTTAAAATATGGAGTAAAAAAGAGCATATCAGTGTAATGTGTAATGATAAAAAAAACATAACTCACACCTCACCTCCACTCTTTTAAATAAGGATTACTTCCGAAATATTGGTCAAAAAATTATTATAAATCATTTTCATTATCAATCATTTAGTCATTTTCTTCATTAGACAAGTATTTATTTTACAAGCTAGTTTTACATTTAATAAGTTAATTAAATATGTATGTTGCCTTTAAAAAAATAAAGTTGATACGTTTATAAAGCATAAGGGATGAATTAAAGAAATACTCAATTACAATTTAAAAAATCGGTCATTTTTAATATTTTTTAAACCTTTTTTCTTTTCTTATAACTACACACTTATAGATTTAATTTCTTAATCGAAAATATCTATTTTAATTTTAAACTTATTTAATATTAAATAGATTTTTTTATTTAAATACCTTATAAGGGGAATACACTGATTTTTATAAAAATTTATTAATTTCAACTTAATTTGAATATAAAGTTAAACTCTTTTTGAATATTTTGCCTTTCCTGAGGTTAGTAAAACGACTTTGAATTTTTGAAGTAGCGTAAAGTGACTTTTTTATACACCGTCAAATTAGATATACGGTTGCTGCATCGTTAAGACTTATGTCTTTCACGCACAAGATGAAGGTTCGACCCTGCGCCACGAGTTTACTTTTATTGCATTCTTTTCATTATTATTTTTAAGGTGAAAAAAAATTCAAATTGATTTTCATTTCATTTAGATTGAACAACTTCAATGAATATCACTCATTTCTAATGTTTTTAAAGTATTTATTGTCTAATTAGGTTTAATATAATAATAGGTTTTAACTACAAAATTAAATAAATTTACTTTGTTTTTTTAGTAATTTCTTGACTATGGTATACACCCATTTGTAATATTTTAAATTTTTAATAATATGTTACTGTATAAATAATTTCTAAAAATATGATTTTTGGTTTTATCTTATTTTATAATGGATATTTACAATTATAATCAATTTTTATAGTACGCTCAATGGTGTAGATATTTTTAACAACATTTTGATTGGTTTTTTTAAATTAATTAATTAAATAATTAATAATAAATAATTAAATAATTAAAGTTAATTAAGTTCTGAATATATCAATTTTGAATCTTTTTTAACACCAAGAGTTAGATAGATTACTATGATTTCTATTACAATTATGTATTGTGATAAAAATGCAGAAAAAATAGCGATTTTAACAAAATATTGAATTTTCACTATAAATTTACTGTAAATAGTATTTATAAAATTTCCTGATTACATAGTAATCTTAGCAGTAAATTTTTTTTATTTAATGATGTCAATTTCAAACTTGTAAGTCGAGCTATTTATTATAAACTTTTATAAAAAAAAAAACTTTAAAGGATCAAAAAAATAGATTAAAAATTAAAAATATTGAAAATTAAATTCAATAATAGTTAGAAAATGATATTTTTTTTGTTTTAATTATTCTTTTTTTATGTAAATACTCGTTTTTTCTTATTAGTAATAATATAAAAATGAGGCGATAGAAAAAATCTAGTTGCAAATTTAAAAATTGTGAAAAATGGTTTTAGAAAAGTATATTCTGGTTTTTGACAAAAATTCCTTATAGACCAGTGTGCTTATACATAATTTATCTTTGAAAAGTATTACATCAAGCCCTTTAATTTTTACTTATGTTTGTTATAGAAGTAACGAAATATACTATTAATTATTATTTTTTATAATTTCTCCGTATAAGTTACAATATTAAATTATTGATTATCAATTTCAAACTGAATTTAATTATTATAATAACTTTTTATTCATATATTATACTTATACATGAAATAACTACTAATCAGTATATAACTAAGGAAATAGAAGTTGTGTTGCTTTTGGAATAATTTAAAATTATTTTTAATTAAACACTACCTACACGATTCTTGTAGTAGTGATTTCAATCACTGTCAGATATCATCTATACTTGTCCAATTATGCCGTAAATTCACTGTGCTATCGTTTCTAGTTATATATTTTATGATATAAAGTATAAAGACTCTTATTCATTTTTTATTACAATTTTTTAAGTAATTAGTGAAACATTTGTCATTTAAATATTCTACGTCTAATATACGTTCAATATCAAATTACAAATTATTTTCAACGTTTAAAAACTTTTTAAATCAGTAATAATTAAAAAACTCTTGATGAAAATTATTAGACAGATAACGTTAGTTTTATACACTGTACGACTAGTATCATAAAGTTTCTGTTGTAAGTACTTCTATTTACAATGTAATATGTATTGGGTTTTTATTTTTATTATTGGCAAAAGAGAATTAACTGACGCATTAAATAATATTGTGTAAAATACAAGTGACCATAGCCTAGAAGAAAAGAAATTAAAAAATGTAGACATTATTACTATTTTATGTATATGTTTGTTATGACTGATCCATGTGCATCAGTTTTATAGCTTTAGTTTTGTAAGATTTAAAATTATCCGCTTTTTATGATTTTTAATCTTGTCATAATGTGAAATGTGATAATGTAAACATCGCATTTATTTTAGATCAGTAAAATTAATGTTTATTTAAAAATCAATTTTTATATCATTTTTACAATAAAAAATAACTAATCGATTCAATTATACCAAATGTTTTAATATGTGGGGTTTGATATACTTAAGTATTCTGGTAGGCAGTCGATCAGCGATGTTCAAATATTTTAAAAATGTATCGAAATCATATATAATTGTAATCATTGGATATAACTTGACCAAACATTATAATTTTGTAAATTAAATTTTTGATATTTATGTCTAGTCATGAAGTACTTTCTCTTTGCATAAGCATAAATAGATACACACCGAAAGAAGACAGATTAGGGGTAAGTCTTATCATTGGCATAACTTTAACAAAAATTGTTTTTGTCGAAAAAAAGTGTTGGATGATTTTAAAGGTTTGTTAAGTGATAACTTCCTTGTTCTTTGACACAAAATATAAATTATTGACGAATAAAGAATATACTTTAATTGAAAATAAAATGTATGCAATGATAATTATATTTTTTATAATTATACTGTTTTCGATGATATGGAACAAATCCAAAATTAAACACTGGGCAATAAATATTTAATGGCAAGCAATGCAGATGTGTGCATATGCAGATATTTGTGAATGTATTTTGTATAATTCTAAATAGCAATATTTAAGGAACATACTACTATAATAATGTTATTTATAATGTTACTAGTTATGTAATTGTATATACTTTTTAAGTAATTTAAATAACATAGCTTTTAAATTTAAATTTGGTCAAATTAATTTTGTATTTTTTTTTTTTTTTTGATAGTGTATTAATAGTATTTTAGTCTTTTAATTAATTTTATAACAGTTTAGACATGGAAAACATTTTTGGTAAAGACTATTTCATAATATTTGATAATGTGAAACCCATTTGTTTTGTTTTCGTAATTCAAGATGATTATTTTTTTTATATTTTTTTAGACAAGATTATAGGTAACTTTAAAATGATGATAAAGAGTCTTTTATAAAGGGAGTTTAAAATCAGTGTTGTATATAGGAAGTGCCTCAGTTTCCTCTGGCATTTTATTAGACCCTCTGATAAATGTTTGGGTAAAGGAAGTTTAATAATATAATATAGAGTCTTATATTAATTGTGTACCATATACACATGCAGTCATGTTGGGGTTAGGATTGTTGTCAATTTTTTATGGAAAACGTCAACTTGGCTATTTTATTTTAAGTTGGTAAATATATCGTCTTTAATTTGGTATTTTAGAGTGAAGGGCAAAAAGAGAGTCTATTATACATAAATATTATTTTGATTTAACCGCCTTTACTCAAAGTCTTTCATTGAACAAATGTCCGAATTTAATACTTTTCACAATAATAACAGTGCACTGCAATAAAGCAGTGTTGAATAAAACTGATGTTTGGAATACGTAGTACGGATAATACAGAATAGATTTAAAATTTAATACTACTTTTAAATGTTTCTTATATGTTGTACAAGTAGAGTATGTTTAGTCAATTAAGAAATAATATAATTTAAAATTTACTTTTGTTTTTATTTTAGGTGACTCACATGAAATTAAATGAATCATGGAGGGAACCTCCAAATGTGAAAGTTGATGGATGTTTTTATTCTGGAAATGTATCAGGAGAATTGGGATCAATTGTTACAGTTAGCTTGTGTGATGGAATGGTAAGCGTAAAATTTTATTATTAAATTATAACATTAAAAATAATATAACCACAAATTTTATGGTTTATTTTTAAAAATTGTAAATAACGCAAAGTTATGATGATATCGCTTTTTTCCTACAAAAAACTGTATTTTATACGTTAAGTTAGTTATCTAACATAATCGAATTATAAAATGAATCATAATTTTTAATTTAATGAAATAGTTTTTCAACAGTTACTCACACTTAAAACGATTTATATTAAATTAAATAAAATAACAAAATTTGAGCTATAGAATTACAATTGGAAAATATCCAAGTAATAATAACTTTAATTATAATTTTAAAAAACTTTAATTATAATTTGATAAGAATGATGTTCCTTAAGACATCCAGTAAAAAAAATTCAAGATAATTTCAAACAGTAGCTAAATTAACATAAATTCATTTTACTTAGTTTTTATTATAAATTTTCATTCCAAATATTTACACATTTTTTAAGTATAAATGATCTTAAGCTTCTTTAAACAAAATAGTTCATAATAGTATAAATGTATAGATAGAAAAACAATTAAAAGCATAATTTTTATTTTAATAAAATATAAGTTCAAAAATATTATATATATTTAAGATTAAAATTAAAATTTTTATTTTAAGTATATTAGTGAATAGATTTATATACTACTAATTTGGCCTTGTGAAGCACGAGACGAGGTGGCCGAGTGGTTAAGGCGTTGGACTGCTAATCCAATGTGCTCTGCACGCGTGGGTTCGAATCCCATCCTCGTCGAACACGTACCAAAATTTTTTGCATTATTTTTATATTTTTAATTCTTTTTAAATCGTTCTTAGAATCTATTGTCATTTTACACAATTATTATTCAGTGCTGTGCGATTAATTTCTAGTTATATTATTATTAAATTATTTATTTATAAACATGTTTTATAATAATTTAGAATATTTGAGGAATAATTAATGGTCATAGTCTTTTTTAAAATCATCATGGGGATCGTAATTTTTGTTAAAAAAAAACTATTTTGATTAAATCCATATAGATAAAATGAATAAATATTGTACTTGGACAGTCAGTAAAATTATATGTTCTAGTATTTTCCTAATTAGAAATTTAATATTAATATTAAACCTAGTGAAAAATTTTTGCTTTATTTTCCACCCATGTTGCATTAGAAACTTTATAATGTTTAATCCGAAAATTAATTTTAATATTTCTAAAAAATATCAATTTGGACGTATTATGAACTAAGACAAAAATTTACGATGAGATGATAGTTCTTATATTATAATATAACATTACAACAACATGAATATTGTCATAAATAATAAAATATGATAATTTGTATTATATTCATATGAATATAAGTGTTTAACTAAGAGATAAAGTAAGGTTGTTTTTTTGCATTTCATAGTGTACAGAAAATTATTTATCTCATGCAGAATTGTAATTTATGTTAATTATATAAATACTTTTTATGAGTTCTTCTTTGTTTCAAATTCTTATTTCTTTATATGGTAAAATTTGAATTGGATTTTCTTTTATCTTTTAAATTAACGCTTTTTATGTATTAAAGTGTATAAACAAAAAATAGCGAAAAAATGAACAATATTCGAATTAATGAAGCTCTTCCTTAAAAATTATAAAAAAAATTACCAAACAAATTTGAAAAAAATTAATTTTAATAATACATTATATTGTTCTAGATTTTTTATAAAATTAATTTTGTTTCATAAGATTTGAACATTTTTGAATCTTAAGTTAATTATCTTAATTCACTATGCATAATAATTTTTTTGCCCTTAAAAGTGTATTAAATACCATATGTTGTCATGGAGACGAGGTGGCCGAGTGGTTAAGGCGTTGGACTGCTAATCCAATGTGCTCTGCACGCGTGGGTTCGAATCCCATCTTCGTCGGATATACCGAAATTTTCAAATCTGTTATAAATTTTTAATCAATTTATCATTTTTCAATTTCTTCTTAATATTTTATACAATTAATTTAAAAAAGTACTTGTATATTTATTTGTGATTGTAACGTAAAATATGTATAACAAATAAATTCATAAGACCTGAATTATTTTGTTACTAAATAGAAAGAGAAAACTACCATATAATTTAATTTAAGAATTTAATCGCATTAAAATAATATTGTGAAGAGTTCAAAATATCAATTTTTCGTTTTTTAAATGACATCATTATTTTTTCAAATAGCGACATGTATAATTAACTAGATTATTTAATAAATAATAATCACTCTATATAGTACTACAGTGAGTAAAGTAAAATGTTTGGACATTGTCTAGAAAAATAATTTGTCACTTGTATTGCTATCGTCTTACAGATCTTTAGGTATAGTTTAATCACTCATCAAACATTTTTTTAGTAGTGTTGGGTTGAATTATACTTAAAGATCTGTAAGACAATGACAATTTGAGAGAAAAATTATTTTTTTTAGTGTTCAAACATCGTGATCTGTTCTTTCTCGATTATTATTTTATATAAAATAATAAAAGTTGTGTCTTTAATTAACATTTTAGGTTGATATTGACTAGGTATTTTCTTTGAAATTTTTATATTATTACTTTATTGTGCTAAAATAATTAAATAAATTATATAGAAATGGGTATAAATAACTATGAGAGTCTGCAATTTAATTCATTGATATAATGAATGATTTTGAAGATACATTTAATGTAAAAAATTTTGAGATATAAATTCTATAATTCTTAAAACATAGTTTCTTGGATATAAATGAATATTTTTTTAGTTGTCGGAGGTAAAAAAAAAAAATTAAATATTGGTTTTATTGTAAAATAATTAATCGGATATACAAAAAAATTAATTTTACTATAAAACAGAGTAAAACATGTTTAAAAATGTTGTTTATCCATATGAATTGCGATATAATCATCTCAAAAATTCGTCAATTTTGAAGTGATTTGATTGACTAAATATATAAAATAGTAAAAAATAAGTTTTAATACATAACACTAATTTAAAAATTTAACTATTTTAAAAATGAAAACGAGATGTAATTTTCTTTATACGTGATTGCCTAAATAAAAAAAGTATACTTGTAATTTGTTCTATTTTTATAGCAATATTTATTTTTTAAATTGTTTTATTTAAAAGATTATCGCCATATTTTTATTTATTTTCTATGTACTGATCCTCCGGCTAATGGGGTCGTTCATCTAAATGATATGACTCATTAGAACTATAATAACGCTAATTAATTGTAATTTATGGGTATATTTTGTTTTAATATGGTATAAGTGCAAGAAAAAAGTTTTCATTTATGATGGTAATAAATAATGCCATAAAAAAATGTTAACAATAGTCTCAAATGAATAAGGTCTATGATGAGGAAGAAAAAAAGTTTTAAATTGACATTTATTTGGACTCAGAAAAATAGTATTAAAATATGTACGTTAATTTAAACTACTACCAATGGAATAATTTGAAAATTTCATAGCTACAAAACTTTCAGGAGAGAGAAAAGTCCAGTTGTGTCAATGTTTAACTAATATAACTAATAATGTACATAATACATTTACTTTTACTTAAATTATCATTATATACAAATATTTTGTGCACTTTTTATTTTTAAATAAATAGTTGGAACTAAATGTATTTCATAAATAACCCAAATGAATAGATATGTATCAATGGTTTTCAAACTGCAGAAGAAGTTTGAATATTCGGTTTTCAAATACAAAAGTAGACAATATCATTCTCAGATAAAGTACAATAGGCAACGGAAAAACATTGCACTCTTTCATTTCCTAGAATACGTAAGTCCAATCATTTTGGACATAAGGTTATTAACAAACCTCTTCCAGTTGTAAAAAATGTATATACGTAAAATACTTTATATTTTATGGATTCACCTATTAGTTCTAGTAGTTGAGAACAGGTTCTAAATTTGAAAAGTGCATTTTTATTGAATATCATAGCGGCGTATGTAGAGGTACAGTAACACTCAATAACCGAGTCGTGCTAATGTTTTATCAAGCAATGTCATAAGTAATGTATAATTAGTTAGTGTTTAATGTCAATTAAAAAAAAATTGTTTGGTTATAATATGTGTTTATCAAATGTCAGTTGATAAAGTTGTCTTGTGGAGCAAAATGCAATGTTCTGTAGGTCTGTTTTAGAAATGTTATAAATTATTAATAACAAATACATTGAATTGAACTTTTTTGAAGAGTTAATGTGCAATGAAACAAGCTGATATTTTTACGTTAGTTATTATATTCTCTTTTTAATATAAAAAATAGATTCAAAACAAAATAACAGATTTAATTTAATTTTAAAGTTTATTTATTTATTAATTAAGTTTTATTTTAATAAGAATCGATCATTTATGGCTAATATTATTTTGATTTTATCTATATTTCTTTATGATTATTTGGTTGCTTTTTTAAATATTGTTTTGTTGATTAATATAAATTTTCAATAAATGTTTCAAATATATTGTATGGTATAGTATAGTTCACGATATTTTGACAAATCTAATAACTTTTGATCTACTAAATATTTTGCGTTACTTTTTTTTAATAATTTACACGTTCATAGAAGTTAAAGTCATAATTATTGTTATTTGTTTGTAATAATAAAAAATGTTCTTTTTTTTATTAAAAATCTTTTTTAATCTCAAAATTGCTATTTTTTTTAAGCTTTTCTTACAAAAAAATTTGAAGCGTCTGTTCAATTTTTAGAGTATTTTTCATTTTTCATCGAGCCACAAGCATTTTAATATAGAAATTAGACATGTAGCGTGTGTGAGTACAACTCGTGCTGGTATATATTTGTAATGCATTCTTCATCCACACTCATACCCACTCAATGTATTAAAATGTAACTCAATAAATACTCGTCCTAAAATTATTATTGATTCATTAAAATGTTTGTATGAAAAGCTCTAAAAATCTGCTATTTTTTATATATATTTGAAGAAGGAGCAATCTTAATAAAATAAGATAGCGTATTTGTTAGCTA